GGTATATTGTATAAAATTGGATACATAGAAGGAAGCTTTGGTAAGCTTCGGAGAAAGACCTTGCATATAAGTGTTTATCATTAGGATCTGTATCAATAATTAATATTATAATTTATAACTGTAGTATGTACCTCCTACTTAATTTCAATTGAAAAACAACTGCACTGGCCACTAGACACCTACAGAGTTCGTTAATCACCTTTGAAATAATAATAAATGTCGTTTGAAGAGCGTAGAGCCGTAGAATAGGTAACTAGACAGGTCATCGGGGTAAAGCACTGTGATTGTGTGATTGTCAAGTATTGACTTGTGCGTCGAACATACATAAGTAAAATAATAAAATTGAAGAAAGATTAAAAATAATACTAAGGAAACAAATTGTCAATTCAGTTTCAATTTAAATTTAAATTTAAACTTAGGTGAATTCATTTTTCCGGTCGGAAACAAACCCATTGCTGACGACTGCGAAAATAAATTACTTGATGCAGAACTGTGGCGGGGGAGTGTCCGAGGGTCGTAGGTACCTACATACTTGTACAGTAACACCTATAAGTTTGGTTCGTTTGGTCTTTTGCAGATCCCAGATCATTAGGTGATCTCCAATAAATATAATTTGGATGAACAAAAAATGCTAATTCTGTTTTATTATTAGTTACAAGTAATAGCAACTCATTACAATAATAATATAATATAGGCATTATTAGGTAGTATGGCATAATATGATAGTTAATAAAATACAAATAGCGTCAATTCGTATTATATATTATATTAAAGTCGACAATTTATGTATTCCAAAACATACATATTATTATTGTATAGGATAAATGATAATGAAGTACATTGTATATATTGTATATTGTATAACACACATAGAATAAAATATAATAAGAATATATTATGAGTATCTACTACAAAGATTTGTAAATTTCAAAATATAAACTTAAAATATGAACCTTCATTTTGTGGTTGTTATTCAGTAAAACAGAGGAAATGCAACACACTAGTTACTTTTCAATAAATAATAATTACAAACAAAATTAATACAAATGGTTTTATAGTACAATATTATGTGTTATTAGTTAATACATATAAATTGTATGATATAATAAGTAAAACTAAATAAAAAAAAATAAAAGACTAAATACTATTGTCAAACACATTTCAAATGTGTATGAAAAGTTAAAGTAATTCATATGACATATATAAGACATTAACTACAATTTTAGAGAATCTAACATTTCCAAATAACATTGAATTGTGTAAGCAAACAGGTTAATGTTTCAATTATAAAATTAGTTTAGTGGATTTTTTACCACACAATTATGCCATTTTAGATGTAATCGTTTTTAGTATATTATGATAAATAATGATTTCAAGAAATTAAAATGCAGCCAGAAATGAATAAGAAACGAAAGTCCAAGAATTTACATATTCTTAGTCGTGTAATGAAAAATAATTTTTGATTTTACAATTATAATTTATTAGGAACCGGATATATTATGATTTCACAATGGCTAACTTGAATAAAAGGGAGATCTACACAAAATATACAATTATTATAATGTACATTATACATGCATATAACACCACATTAATAAAGTCCAATAATAAAATATGCACAACTTGTTTTATAAATAGGGATGAAAAAACTAATAAAAATATTTAACTTTCATATTTTGGATCTAAATATTAGTCCTTTAAATGCAGTTTTAACAGGTAACAAATAACTAATAAGATTAAAAATAAAACCAAAATAATAAATAGTTACAAATAAAATTAATAATAAAAATATATGTATATAAATATGGGTATACATAGTGACACAATAAACAAACAATATTAATTAGTATAAATAATAAATAATAGTTTATAAATGGTTATTAGTGAGTAAATCAAGTATCACTCGGTTTCAACACTACACCATCACTGAAGTTAATCATTTTCATGACTGGCTCATAGTCCCCGGCTAAATAGAACAGATCATTATTAACATAAATATTCTTCAGCCGTTTATCATCCTTTTCAATGATTGACCTGAACTCTTCTATTGATACCACTTGACACCCATTCATAATGCTTTGTACATCATTAATGTCATTATGAGGTGATTTGAACAATGCTCCCTATAGTGTCATAAAACATAATAAATATACACTGTGATCATAATAAAAACTTGAGTATATTGTCATAGGCATGACTAGAGTTCAGCCGCAATGTCAGCCTAGCTAATTACCAGTGCTGTCTTAATAATGAACCGAAAAAAGCCCTAAAAACCCAAGGCCATACTATAGTTTTTAAAGCCTCTCCTTTCCCAATAAAGTATTTATATAATTTTAAAAAAATTCTGAACTATCTATTTACAAATAATAATCTACAGTAATTGCGGTAATTTAACTTTGGAAATATTATTCATCTACAGCTCTGGATTACACCACCTACCTACAAATCAAAAATTTATAATACAACTATTATAACAATAATATCCAATAATAGATGAGTACCGTACCGTCGTCATCTATCTTAAGCCTTTATAGTAGGTTTTTCCGAAGTCAGGAAATCAATTTGACAATACACGTTATTAACAAAATAAAGATACTACCTAATTTTGTAGAGCATAATATCTTTGTAAAGTAAATAGTAATTATAATGATTTTTATTTAAACAATAGTTGTAACCCTTATAACTTAAAAACTCAATTGACCTGTGCCTTTCAAAAATTACAGGGCAGCCCAGGCACCCCAAGTTGCCACCGTAGACACGCCTATGTATATTGTACTAACCGGGTATGGTAGGTTTCCAGTAAAATTACTAGCCGTCTCTTCAGGGTGATAGAACCAAAATACTTTTACTTGCATTTTTTCCTGGTTCGTCTCCCACATACAGTTAACTTTACCGATAAAAGGTCGATCCAGTTGACCAGAAGATAGAAACACAGCACAGTCACCAATCTGGTTAGAAACAAAAAAAATTATAATTATAAAGTTATAAAATTGCAAAGCAAACAACACACAGAGAACAAAAATATATTAGTATTGTAATTTGTAACATACACTTATGGTTTCGTCTCCTCTACTGATGGACCTATAAAAGGTCTTCTTATTTCCACCGCGACCTGGACGCTTATAACTGTCACCTGACCATTTCCATATTTGCTGGTCAGACAAAAATGTTGGTACATCACTGCTTTCCACTTCACTGGAGTCATTCTAAAATATTTCAATTGTGTTAATTTTTTTAATTTCTAGTTTTCCACTACCTATACATTTTTACCAGAAAAACTATAAAATTTGTCAGTTGATAAACCATTAAATAAGTCAACATAATTCAGATGATTAAATAATTCAGCATTATTAAATTAGATTTATAAATTATTATCATATTATATTCAAATTGCAAATATAGTTTGTAAATAATACCGGTTTTACTTACTTCTTTGGATTTGTCATCATCGTTGTCGTCATCGTCATCATCCTCTTCAATGGTGTCTTCAATAAGTCTCTGAGGTGACAGAGTGGGTGGTTCAAATACAGAAAGCCCTAACTCAGAATCTCGATGTCGCTTATGCTTTTTGTGATGTTTTTTGTGGTGTTTGTGTTTATGTTTGGTTCTTGATTCGTCGTGACTGTGCTTGTGTTTTCTATGTTTACGTTTCTTTTTCAGTCTTTTTCTTTCATGGTCATCCTACAAATATAGAATAATAAATGATAATACAATTCACACAACATAATAACAATAACGAGACACTCACATCGACGGTAGTTATTTCTACATCCGGTCGACTCGGACTGACGGGTATGCATTGTCGTTCAGCGAGTTCGACCGTAGTAGAACTATCCCGTTCTGAAACCACCAATGAACACAACATAGAATCCAAAATCCAAAATTACCCATCACCAAACAAAATTATAAGTACTAAATACTAACCTTCATTAGTTTGTTCAAGAGAAATGTCAGACGACTCTGAAGTCTGGCTTCTCACGGGAACAGAGCTATATGATGTGTCTCTTTGCGAAAGTGAAACAGCATCGTCTAAACTTTCTACACTGTCTAACGATACATTTGAAAACTTTCTTTTCTTAGGAATCACTGCTGGCTTATTGACAGTACATGGAGACTATAAGAAACATTTTAATGATTATAAAATACTTAAGATTATACATAATATATGTTAGGTATATGTATGTATGTGTATGAGCAAGTGTGTATGTATGTGTACATTATAATTTATATATACAGAAATGCAAATGGGAAAAATACAATACAATATAATATAAATGTATACATATTTAACATTAAAAAAAATAAGTATTTCAAATATAAAAAAGGTCCATTTCAAAAAAATATTAGTTTTTCAAATATTCTATAAATTAACTGACTGTTGGGCTTTGAATTATTCTTATAAACCTATGAAAACAATAAAATAATAGACTTTAAAGAGACATAGGTAAAACAAATATTTGTATTTTACAACTCAATAACTGCATAATATATTTGTTTACTAATTTTGTATGCACAGTGTTTTATATTAGTTTCATTTACATTGGTACCTACTTCATTAACTCGGCTTTATTTTTGGAACGTGTAGCTTTTTTATTGTTTAATAATCATTCTATTTTTATAAATTTACAAAATAGTATGATAAATTACTATTATTTATTATTGAATAATATTTTTATTAACCGAGTAATTATTTTCAAAATATTTAATTTATACTTAAACATATTATAACCTGTTTCAAATCAGTTAAATTTAGTTAAAATATGAATAAACAGTGAAGTATGCTAGATAATTATTAATACTTTTTGAATTTAAACCTGTAAATATATTTGTATTATATGTTATTTAATATTTAGTAAATACCATTCTGTGCAATGCATCAGCTATTCGGCGTTTTTTACATACATATTCTGGCATTGCTAATATGTCGTCTTGGTCTTGGATCTCGTCATCTTCATCTTCCACATCCCAATGTTTAATCTGTAAATTCATAAGTAAATTAAATTAATTTATATTAAATGTAAACAAATCATTTGTAGTATAAATATTTAATTCTTTAGCATTTATTATTTGAAAATACAATTATTTTTAATATGTATATGTAAATATTAATTTAAACTTATGATTCCAGATTTTATTTTTATGAAAATATATTTAATAATTGACATTAATAGTTCTGACAAAAACTTTACAAAAGTCTTAGTTATTCCTAGATGTTCAGTAATATTATTATTAATAATATATCGATGGCGTAGCGCACAAGTGTGATAAGTGACATTTTTTTGAAAAATGAGTTAAGTGCATAATCAATTTAATCATACAATTCTGCACATTATGCCCAAACGTTGTAAGTGAATAGTTCATTATTTACTCCGATAGATGTCGTACAGTTCGTTACATTTTTGAATTTGTTATTACATCTCAAACTTAAAAATCGTTCTCTTGAACAATTACGAAAATGTCACTTATCACACTTGTGCGCTACGCCATCGATATGTTTCTTATATACTAATTATAATAACTTACTTTAACTTCAGCCTTTAACTTGGGTTTTATTTTGTATTGGCCAGAAGATGGTGTCTCTATATTGTTAATCTTTATTGTTGAAACCCTACTTAACAAGCCTGATGATATAGAAACTGGTTTTTCTTTCTTTGGAGTTAGAGACAGATGTTTTTTAATGACTTCATCAAAAGGATTTTGAATTTTTCTTGGTCGTCCGACTTTTCGTTTCTTCAAGGGTGGTATAAATTCATCCTCACTAATCTGAAAAATAAAACAATGAATTAAAAATTTTAAAAGGGAATTATAGATAACTCAATCAAAATATGTTGCATACAATTGATGATGTACAGCGTTTTTTGACAATTTTTTTCTGATAGACCTTAGCATCATCTGATAATTTTTGAACATCAGACAATTTAGCCATTGATGAGGCTGGAGATAATGTAGGTGGGCTAGGTGTAGAAACCTTTCTAGGTGAAAAAAGACTCCATGCTTCCAACACAGGAGGAGAGAGATCTGAAGATGAGGAACTAGAAGTCTTGTGTTTGGTTTTTGAATTACAATCCAACTTCAACCGTTTTTCTTTAATATCTTCATTATTACAAATATTGTTATTTCCTTCGTCACACTTCAATACCTTTTTTGGACGACCTGGTCCACGTTTTACTTGTCCAGATGATGACAAACTTGATTCAGATACTTTTCGATTCAGAACTTTGTCTTTAGAGTAATTAGGTGACTTTTTTATTGTATCTATTTTTGAATTAACTTTTAATTTGTCAACAGACTGGAAAATATCGCTAGTCTGAGAAAATGATTTTTTGGTGTATACTTTTTTAGTGCCATTTTTATTCATTGTCACCTCAAGTGGTTTAGTAGTATTTTCTTCAAACTCATAACTGCATTCATTTGCCTCTAAAATTAAACAAAAACATAATATATAAGTTCATGTATTCACAAAAAATACTTGTAAATATTATTATATAATAGGGCTGACTTGAACTTTGTTACATTTAGCATAATTTCATCAGCATGGGGATTTTCTAATTAAAATTTTTTTTTTGATTTTTAGATTCATTGCTGGATAAGCTATTCATTACATTCATGACTTTACTAATGAAATAGCAAAACATTTTAGAGACATTTTTTTTTAATTTTACATTAATTTTAAATGCATATTCCTGATTTTACAATTTTTACTTTTTTAGTGCATGTTTGTTGATACTTACAATTTTAATGATATCAAATTGTATGATTAAACCCTTCTTAAATTTAAAATTTATATCTCATGGCCGTCACATGAATTTATAATCAACAATATTTATACTTTGAAAAACATATTTATTTTATAATACTATGTGTACTTTATGTGTCTATGTATATAGTATATATATAGTAAATTGATGATCATATTTATTTATTTTTTAAGCACATAAATTTACTTTATTAATTGCATAACTGCATGCATATATTATACATGTTTAGACCATTGAAGTTCAAATACTAATAATATATTATATTATATAAATATAAAACTTGATTACCACACTTACCAGTTAAATTATTATTGTTTGAGTAACTCTTATTGGCAGTGTCTTGTTCAGAAGTCTCACTGGATTTTTCAGTTTCCAAAAACTGCTCAGCCAACAAAAGCAAATCAATCTTGTTCACACCTTTTTCTTCTGTTTCCTCTACAGTATTAACATTGGTATCTATTGTTTGTACATTTTCCTCCTCTAAAGTATTAATTACAACTTCCTGATTATGACAACTATCCAATTGTTCACTAGAGTTACGTTTTTCAAACTGTTCAATACTATTCAGCAGTAGCTCCAATCCAGTAATATCCGGTGTATTAGAATTCTCGGCTATAGATAATACAGAAGTCTGAGTAGCACCATCAGTTAAAGGCTGGTCATTATCCGTGCAGTCTTGTGCACTTTCAGTGAAATTTGGTTCTTTACTCTCTTCAGTCAATGGATGATAAGTTTCATCTTCAGTTTGAAGATCTGTTTGATTGCTAGCGTCATGTGATACAATCGCTTCAGATTCCAAAAGTTGTTCTGGCGCTGAAAAATCTTGTTTTAAGTCTTTTTCAGGTTCACTGATGGTAGTGTTACAATAGTCCAACGAAATTGACACATTTTCTTCCGTGTGTCTTGAAATTGTACTCTTCTCAGTAATTGACTGCTGTACTAATTTGGTTTGGACAGTTACAGACTCAGATACTGTTTGTATGTCGTTGATTTGGTTTTGACATCCAGATTGCATTTGAGTTGCAATAGTCAGTCCTGAGTGTGGCGGTTGAAGATGACTTATTAGTGGTTGAGCCACAATAGCAGACTGTTGTTGGTTGAAAATAATCATCTGATTTTCAGGTGACGTCAACTGTATTAACGGTTGTTGATGAGTAGTGTTGTCGGTTAGTTGATGGTGAGTGTTTATGAGGGCCGGTGGGGTGGAAGAGCTGACTTGTTGAATCAGGTATGAACCTGAATAAAACCATAACAAGTGAATTAAAAATCAGAGAAACAGTTAGTAAGTAAAAATAATAATATTTACCCGAACTTGCAATAGACGTATACTGTGGATGGTGGTTTAAGATAGGTGAAATAGTAGTCATCTGTTGCTGTGGTTGTTGGATCAGAGTATAGCCTTGATTGGGTTGATGGTGATTCTGTGTTTCAGACTTGCAATAATCATACGGCATAGTCATTAAACCTACATAATAATATTTAAGTTAATAAAATACAATAGTTCTGTATAACAATTAATAAATAACAAGAGTTGAAAATATCTACATTTCTGACATTTATACATTTGTTTTTACTAACCGGCAATAGAGTTTTGAGGCAAAAGAAAATATTGGCCAGATTGGTCTTGGACTAGTTGATATCCGACTGGCTGCACGTTCTGCTGTTCCAAAGCAGGAGCTTCAGATAAAAAAAAAATATATACATATGAGACACTTTTAAACTATCTATAAAAATAATGTAATATTGGAAGAGAGGAAAATCGTTTAGACATCAATTTAATATGAATTAAAAAACTTTTCTAGTATGGTAGAGTATAAACAAAATCAAACAATATTGTTTAGAGTATCTATTGTCTACCTCTTAACGTAGTGTTTTGAAAACTCCATTGACTTCCGATAGTGTTTTGAGGAATGCTGCAGCTCCCAGACGATGGCCATCGGTTAATACCTGCTGTTGACCCAGTCGTCATGGAACAATCGTTATAGGACAACACTAATAGACATATACCGAGTTATCATACATTTAACACAAATCGTTTACCCATATCATCCAGACCCAGTGGTATATATTTATAACTAATTAGTTTTATATGAGCAACTTAATTGATAGTTGAAACAGTCGAAATACTATAAACATTGAACTATAGTAATAATGTAACTATAAAGTATAGTATTCAGTATTACGTATTTTTGTTTTTTCCGTAATCGAATATTAATTTGTCGTATAGGGCCCAGTGACCACATACCGTCTAGACATAAAAATTCCTGACTAAACACGCCACTGATAAATGATGATACAGTTTCTTATAATAATGTGAAATGCGTCTGTTTACCCATTGTCTGCATCGGTGACTGATGAACGACTTCGGGCATCGATACCGTCGTAGTGGTCTCTCGTTGCCTTTGAACCTCCGTGTTGGAAGAACTTTGAGTATACCTTTGTCTGGCAACAGCTATGCCCACCGGTATATTTCCACTGACGCCAGCTAAATCGAATTACGTTCATAAGAAACAATATATGGGGGGGGGGGGGCGGGAAAGCCAGAACTAGAAGGGTACTTATATAATATAATATGTAAAATAATAACTTGATTGCGTACTTTTGATGGTTGTCGTTTGACTGCATTGGACAGTGGAATCTTTTTTTTTCAAAACCAGTGCCGGATTGTTCTGCGACGCATACGTTGTATATTTGGTCGAATTAACAGAGTCTTCGTTTCGGGTTGTTGCAATCGGAGTGGGAGCAACTACATTGGAAGAACAAATCAAATACTGAATTACAATTATCGCCAAAACTAAAACAAATATACTTTTAGGTGTACACGTATAATAAAACAAAAATGTTGGAATAACACCATTATTTGCATATTATTACTGTTCTCTTTCAGTGTTTACCAAAATAATAACCTATGTATAAACTGATAAATTATTGGGGAATAAATCTATCCGGTTTCCATTGTACTATGAACTTCCGCGGTTAAATTGATGATGCTAAAAACAAGATTGAAATCCGTTATCCGCATTAATTCTCACCACGCACCCGACCCATAACATACAGTTTATAACACACAAACGCACTGCTCTCTATTGATTACTGTCTACGAAATATTTAGGAAAAAATCAACATGGGCATAATGTACAACAAAAATTCACCTCAAAAAAAGAAAACTGTGAACATATTAATATTACATAATGTTATTACAAAGTGTTCGTAGCTAAATAGGTCGAACTTATCAAAATACTACTTATCTTAGTTATAAATCTTTATCAATTTATATGCTAAACACAAATTTCTATATTCATATTTATTCATTATTATTTTTCGGAAAAACTGAAATAATTCAAAGAGACATGGAGAAACGCTTTAAAAGATTACTTAACTATAATTTGTGAATTATATAAAACGATAATACCTATTATTCAATGAATTATTTTGATATTATCTTGACATACAAAATATATAAAAGAAAGTGAATACTGTACAACTTACGTACAATGCAAGATATCAAAAAAAGGATTTTAATGTAAGTACAAACGTACTTTTAGCTTCTATGTATTTGTATACATATTATATTAAGCGTAATAATATTACTTTCCGGTAAGTTTTAATGTGTTCACTGTAGAGTGCAAGGACAATCTGTGTGGTTATTTTCTTTTAATGATTTAGTGTACCCAATCAATTGGAACGTAATCCGCTTTCGAGAATGTTTTTTTCATAAAATTATTTCTGCATTTAAATTGTGTAATTATACATATTATATACATATTTGAATGAACATGTAAGTTTTTCGTAGACCGACAAGAACATTAATACTTACAATGATTAATTTATGAGTTTTACATTTTAAAATTCAATATATTATTATCTATATTTTTGAACAACAATAAAACAATGTATCGTTTTATTGTTATAATAATTTGTATACAATAGAAAAGTAAGATAATAAATAATAATGTTAAAACTCATTGCATTGCTGTCGATTATTCAATGTACAGTGTTGTCCGGAAATGTCATCTCTCTCGACGAGGGCGACTGCATTATAATAAGCGTGAAAGATATAATATACCTACGTCTTGGGTGACGTTATAATACTCAAATCACGAAATCATAAAAAAGTCAAAGTGACTACATTTACATAATTTACATTACAAAAAGCAAAATGAAAATAATATACGTTTATACTAGAAAGATTTTGTACAGCCCAAACGCCTAGTCCAATAAGCATATAATAAAAATAAATATTTAAAAAAAATCATTGAAACCAGCGACACATTAACACATCAGTATACTAGCATTGTTGTACAGTATAATATGAACTTTAAATAAGCAAAACGATAAAAGTGTTTTACCATGACGTTTACAAAATGTTTTTTTCTTTAAAATATTAAATAGTAGCAGATGTCATCAAAAACATATTTGTAACCGTGTTTCATAATAGACTCTTTTTCAATATTGAAATATTGTGGTCTTCTATTATGGTCTTATTATTTTAAACGTATTAATAATAATACCTACTGCAGCCCAGTGGCATTTTTACGGGGGGGGGGGATCAAGAGGATCACCCTCCTCCATTGGCCGTATATAATATGCAAACATTTTCGGAGTCCTAACTTAAAGCCGGGGCTACTGGATAAAATCATACCCCTCAAGACAAAAACCTAAATATTTGCTGCAGCCGTACACACGTATAATATTATATTATCGTTATAACTTATATAATATATTCTTACCTATTGTCAATGGTTTACTGGTGATCAAAGTGTGGCTTTTCCCAATCGGCCTTTTTCGCTTTTTGGACTCTTGTAGCAGCGACCGGTCGGCCGATCCATTGGGAGCAAGTTTCACCAATTTCGGCATTTCTTTCACTGTAACCAAAATATTAATTTACTGTTTACTCGATTACAACTTAAATCTGTGAATGCAATGTAAAGAATAAAGATGAACTAATGAATCATAATTCATGAATGTCATAATTATCGCTTTTAAATTTAATTAACGGCTGCTGTGCACTGTATATAGGTATCTAGACATAAGTCATAAATGTAAATTCGTCAAAGTTATTAACACAATGTTTTGAGTTTTCTATTAGGTAGTGTTTTTTTTTTTTTTTTTAGAGAGAATTGATATTAAATTGCAAATATTTATTTTTTTTAAATCAGAAAAAATAAGATAATTTTATGTTAAAGGGATACAATTGTTAAAAACATAATTTGATTTGATGAACCGTAAACATTTAACATAACAACCACAAAGCTATGTAGGTACCTAGGTACTTACATATATTTTTAATATAAAACCTTAACAATCTAGTAACAATTTAACATTAAAAGTAACTAATAAGGTAATTTATAATTACCGAATTATAATCATCACTCCGTCTAATTATACAATTAATTGAAAACCTGCTATTTGAAAATATATATATAGTTTTTAACCACTTCGATGTCACGTATATTATACGTGGAGTAAATGCAAATAATGTTTACATTTTTATTTTTAAAATGTGGATAACATTGAATGTTTGAAATTTCATTATTCAAAAATATATTAAATAATAAGTACAAATATCATTTATATTTAACTAGGTATATATTTGAAGATATTTTTAGATGGGTATATTTTAAATATAATTTACAACGGGTTTCTCATTCGTCGTGAGTATATGACATTTTCTCATTTATTTCTCTTAAAAATCTAATGGATTTCTTATTTTCTATTGGAATTCCAGAACGTGAATCCTTCAAAATACAAACATCTTTCACATTTTGTACGATTGATCGAAACGCAAACCCAATAAATGGCTTCGGGGGTAATAAATTACTTTACTTTTACTTACCTTTTTCAGACCTCTGAGTATAATATTACTAAACACATTTGCAATTTGGATTCTTTTTCTCCATTTATAAAAAAATATTAAATTTCAAAACATCTAAAAAACTGTAGGTACCTATTGGATATTTTTTTTAATATTTAACAAGTGTTCATCCATAGAAATGATTACACTTGACGGATCGTCATTCCATACATAAATAGTAAATTTCACAGAAATGTAATAAAGTATGTCCAATGTCCATAGGTACGATGATTTATTTTGAAGAGAAAAATTGGAAAACCAATTTCTTATTTTTATTGATAAACGAGAGTATTCAGTGTATATAAATTATAAAATAAATATATATATATTTCTGGCAACACGTGCGACTGATGACTTACCTAAGATCGTACCTAAAGGTATACGGTATACCTATGGAAACTATATTTGCCTCTAAAAAATACACACTATATAATGTTTTGTTGTAGAAGATAGCGACTCTGCAGCATAGATAATAAAATACTTTAAATTTTTATTATTTGATTTTTTGTTATTGAAAGTATAACCAAACCAAGTGAAATATTTGTTCATGTGCATAAGGAGGCCATTTTACGTTTTATATTTTCATGGGGGGGGGGCTTTGGAAGAGAGGTTGTACCATACTAATGAAAATAATAAATTTAGCTTCAAATGGTTAAACTTATATTCGGTATCGTTAATATATGAAGTAGGTACATAGGAATACACTTGGAATAGACAATCATTTGAAGAAAAAATTCTCATAAAAAGCAATTTCTGTTTACTTTTATTTAAACTAATTTTGTATTTTATTTTATTCGATTAACGACGCCTATATTGAATAAGGTGTACATAATACGGTGTTACTTATGAAATAAATTTAGTGTACCTTACATTTCAATGCATATAAGATAATATAACTATTAAAATAAAATGCAACTATTAATCTCATGGAATTAACAATATTTTTAAATATGAATATAATTATCAAAAATACGTTGGACAATTAATTATTATTCAAAATTCAAACATAAACGCCGAAGTTTATAGATTCACAATCGTAATATTGAAGTCAAAACTATCAATGCTAATTATTATCAATTATTGCAAACCCGAAGCATACGACTTTTAGATTCATTAAAGCTATAATAAGATTGTGTGTGGAATGGCTCAACAAAAGTAATTTTGGATCTGGTGTAAGTTGAAACCAAACAACCTTTTTCTTCTTATATTTTGGGGACAGTTAATATTATTTTATTTAAAATTTTAAAAATAATAGACATATCATTAAACCTATACGTCTGGAGGAAAGGGGGTGAAAACCTAACTTCAAAGCAAGTTCTTTGAAAGACAATATTCATCGCAAATTTATGAGATAAATTCCTAAAAATTAAAATTGTACATTATTTAGACGACTTATATGACCCAAGTTGAGATGGATTCCATATTATGGATCCATACTGGCATACTCCAGATTTGAACGTACCAAAAAACATTACAAGAATTTTAGAAATTAAATATTTTTAAATTGCCAGAATTTACGCCTGATAAACCCTAAAGTGCTTGTCGCTTTGCTATAAATAAATTAAATGTATACTGAAAAAGAAAGATCTACAGACAAAACGATACTAAATCGTTTAAGGAAGAGACTAACTTAAGCTCCTGGTTATCAATAGAATAATTGAAGGTACGTAAATTGTTTTATACGTCTAGTAAAGGATATTTGAGCATATTAATTATCAACTTTCTTTTTTAAAAGGTTATCTATGTTAAAAGGTTATCCATGCATAAATTAAAAAAAACGAATAAAATAATTTTGTAACTTCTTATAATCTTTTAAGGAGTTTACTGCCATATACATTTTCAAGTCATCGGCATACAGAGAATAATATTTTATAGAAATGGAACTTCTAAAATAACTAATATAACTTTATATAATATTACAACAAAATTCGTAAAAAGCTACAATAACGATTAGGTATCGTTCATATTTTATTTTTCAACATCATGGTTACAACATATAGATTATATCATAATCTGTGGTTGCAGTACATCAATATTTACACTGTTATCTTCAACCGGGGAACTTACAACCGCCCAGTTCCCCGCCTTACGATCGCCGACGAGTGGCGGGACACGTACAAAATAGTCATGTGTAAGAATTTAAGATAATAATAACATTATGTAGGTTTATTTTATCGAACAATCACAGATACCCAATTCCGATTTTTATAGTCAAGTCGTAAACACCATAATAATATGCGTAGGTACCTACGTTATTCAGTCGTGATTATTGTCACGAAGTGGTTCGCGAGACACAATCGCACGCGCTGACATGCAGGTACACGTACAGCCTCGCAGATAACGCACTGCACAATCGACGAGTGAGACGTAAATAATACGAAATAACGAACGACGGCGTTGGAGTTTGACGAGAAAGCGGTGGCGGTGGTTTGGTAGGACGGATCTCTTCTGAGGGGTGGAGAAGAGGGAATAAAATCACGAAAAGGGGACGAATAAAAACAGTGTTAAATTACGTTTTGGCACAGGCTTATCAACATCGGTTCGCCGGAGTGACCTCGACGCGACGCACACGAGCGTACAATTTTTTTCGTCTGCTAAAATATCATATACTCTATTATAATGGTTATATAGACATATTATAGTTACTGTATTGAGTACGATACGTACTTTTGCATACACGACAAATGATACACTCGCACTTTACAAAGCATTAAACGGCGAAACCCCCCAATAGCGAACTTGTTGCAGCTCAACGTCGGCGAACGCACATATTGTGTTGAAAAATAATGTTTTCCCCTCTGTTTAATTTATCATTTTTATCATACCTAATATCAAATAATATACCTAATAATATAGGTAGGTACCAGCAATTTATTACATTAATTATACAAAATTACTTCTTGTCTTCAAATTTTCTAATATATTTTATTTTCCGTCTATTCTCAATTTTATAATTTATTTTATTTAGTGCACGGTAATAATAATTATTGATAACAAAAAGTGAGATTATTTTATACACCTGTTAGGTATGAGGAATTTAAATTATAATATTCAAGTGGCTTGGGAATAATTGTATTATGTTCAATTTAAATCAACAATGTTTTTTTCAAGCACACAGCCAGCAATCGAAAATTGAAAAAGCATTGGAAGGTTTCGGTAGTTTTGCCGCGGTACAGGTACGAACAATACGACAAATGCTCGTAAACTTTTTTGCCGTCTGTCGCAATCGCGCTATTACTATTATTATTATTATTGTTATTATTATTTGTATTGAACTTCTTAGCTTCAGTGGCAGGGACAATTGCTAATTGTTCTATGGTCAATTCACATTTCTGCTTAAACAGATGAAGATAAATAAGTTTGGTAGTGAGATTAATATAATATTATTTTTCCATATAGGTACAACTATAATTGGTTATAAATGCTCATTATGTAGACTACCAGTATTTTTTCATATATTTAATAATATAAAATTAAAATATAAAGGTGTATTTTTTATTACATTTTTACATTACGTTATTTAACTCGTGCATAATATACAACAATATTATTCCGAAAAATTAGAATAATCCATAATACAATAATCATAAATAAAGCAAATGGCAGTTATAAGCGGTATAAGGCTATACTTATGTAATTTTACTAGTAAATTAATACATAAAAATATGCAAGAACAATAGTGGTAGTACATATTATTATGATACGTAATATATACCTTAATTTTTAACTACTATTGTTGTCACACGTCGATGGAACAGACAACTATATGATAGGTAGTAGCTACTATTAGATTACGCTCACAACTCGTTCTCGGACCCGATTTCCCGGCTGCCACGGCGATTTCCATGACCCTCAGCGACCGTGAATATTATTATAAATAGAACACACCACACTACCTTATTGTACACAATGTTTACTTATTTATTTTTATACGACACAAACATCAGCTAAGATACTTTACTTGCACATCTTCTACTTCACGCGATATATTTTTATACAATAATTATACGA